TTCTACAAGTATTACCTCACTTACTCTTCCCTGAAACCAGTTCTCACACAAAAGGTGATAAAATAGAGGCACAGAGAGATTAGGTCTCTTGTAAGATTAAATCACTGGTAGTGGCAGAGCCAGGATTTTCACCCAGGAAGTGTCATTCCAAATTAATTTGAATGGTAAAGTTCCAAACCATATAAATGAATCAGGTTTTGTCTCAAGTATGACATACTCATTCATAGGGTTGTATATGCATGTGTACATACATAATTCTATGCTACTGTCTCAATTATAAAGTAGTAAGTGGAGATGGGTATTTATCAATTATAAGTTAGAATATATTTAGTTTGATTTCATTTTATGAACAATTAAAAGCAACTTAGTCTCACCTATAAAATGCTATAAGAATGCATCCTCCATACTTACCTTTTGAAGAAGAAAACTGTAGGCTGTTTATTGCACTTCTAATATCACCAGAACATCCTTGACAGAGCAACTCCAGAGAAATTTTATCAGGGACAGTAGTATTTCCTCCATTCTAAATGAGAAAATTTAAAATTTAAAAACTATTTTCTAAAATGAACAAAAAATCCCCAAAGCCCATTTTCTAAATTTAATGGAAGTATATTAGAATCTTCCAAATATGAATGCTAAAAAGCCACCAGTATGCTTATGAGGTACAAGTGTCAACAACTTACCACAGTTTGAAGTCAAATTTCAAGAGGTATAAAATATTGTTTGACTTGCAGTAGGTTATATTTTGAAGTTCTCTCTCACTATATAAACACATGTGTACATATACACACATACACGTTACATGTTTACATATTAACATATACATGCATGTGCATACACACATGTATATGTTCATATATATACACACACACAGACCTCAAAACACAATATAAAGCTGAGTACACAAAAAAATTTGACAAATCTTTGAAATTTACATGAAAAATCCTACACTGGGGTTTTCAACATATTAATAGTCTGTGGAGTATTAAAAAGTCACAATTCCATCAACTCATATTTAAAGTCTAAGCTTCATATGGATATTTAAGACACATAAAATGCATTTATATTTTTTAAAGAAATTATGCAAATTAAAAAAATATATAAAATATCACATATCATACCCTTTGTAGTTCAAGTGTAAGGCAAGAAAAATTTACTGGTCTCTCCTCGCTCAGAAACTCTTACTGATTTATTAGCAACATGACTGAAGTTGAACTCATTTGATGGTTCACATGAATATGAACTAAACTTTGTCACAACTGTTAACATTCTGGTACCTTTCCAGACCATTTCTTGTACAAATATCTTTAAGTATATCTAGTATCTGTAAGTATATATATAGATACACAGAGTTAATTTTAAAAATATAAGTAGAATCATGTATGTATTTTTCTCTGACTGATTGTTTTTACTTACACTATTCTTTTGTGATGTGTTAATACCTTTAAATCTATTTAACGAAAAAAATGTTATGGATATTCCATGATTTAATATTTCCCCCAATGAAGGGGGACTGACATTGTTTCCAATTTTTCAATGGAAATTTCAAATTTCCCTACTTGCCAACATGCACGACTTTCTGTAGAAGTAGAGTGCCCTCCAAAGTGTCTACAACAACTAGCTACTTTTGTTTTTCCTACCAATAGTATGTGAGAGTGCTTTTCCATATCTTTGGCAATCCTGTTGATCAGTAGTTTAAATTTTTTGCAAAGATACATGACAAATGTATCTGGCTTAAATATGAATTTCTGTGATTACAAGAAGGGCAGAAATCTGTTTCTCTGATGTTTACTAGCCATCT